ATTACCACAGTTCTTGCACAGGCTGGTCTGCTGGTAAGACTTATTCTTGATGCAGAAATCTATATTTTCCTTAGGTCTGCACTCTACAATTTGTAGAAAGGGGAGATCTTAGAATTAGAGTTAATTCACTTGGTTGGATTGCCAGGAATATATTCTTTACCAGTTCTGATTATTGATAACAGATAGTCCCAATTCTAAATAAATAAAAATAGATAGTAGCAGTGGAGTTTTGGAGGAATGAAATATTAAATATCTTGAGACAACCAAGGCTTACTAGTGCAAGTGTTAGAAGACATCATTTGAAGTGTACACATCTTCCTACTGTAGATTATTAGTAACTTTTCTGGATATGCAAGATCTCTGTTGCTCCTGTATAGCTCACTTATCACCAGAAGGTGGATTAGGTGTATGCTAGATCATTATAATCATTCCACCTATTCAATCAAAATTGCAAGAGTTACAGCGTCTACAGTCTAACAATAAGTCTTTCTTGAATTTCATTCGCAAATCATGTGTTTTCCATAGAATTTCTTCAATTTCATACAATTTTTTGTAACTACATCCCTAGGAGTTAATTGTAATGTTTATTCACTTATGTTTTGTTTGCTTCATGTTATTAATTGTATCCCCCTTCATTGTTTTTCTAGTTTTACACCCCATCTAAAAAGTTGTGGTTGTGACCAGCATCCTAGACATGTGGATCCCCTAAACATCACTGCTATGGCTTGCCCAGCTTTGCCACTCTGCCCGCTAGCCATAACTGAAGCTGAACGCGGAATGCCTAGACTCCTTAAGCGTGTTCGAGCTGTCTTTGAGAAGGTATCTTCTTTATTTATTTATTTTTTTTTTGAAAATGAGAAGGTATCTTAACCGAATACTTAAGTCCGAGTATTAAAAAAAAAATAAAAAATTAATAACCAAGCAAAGCTGGATAAATGAGTGACGGCAAAAAAAAAAAGAAGAAAGTCCTCTTTTTCTTTTCCTCTCTTTTTTCCTCTTTCCTAGTTTCTTTCTCTTTCCTCCCTCTTTCTTTTGCTACTGTGAACCCACACTTGAAACCACCTTTGATTTTCCTCACCAAATCAATTCATCTTCTTCCCCTTGATTTTCCTCACCCCTTTCACCCCTTTCTCTTCTAGATCTGTATGTTCATCGCCCATCACTTGCGCACCGAATAGATCCAGGACCACTGCAAATCAAATCTCAAAATCTACCCCAATTCGCGGGAATATGGCTCTTTTAAGTAGTCTAGAAGATGCATTGTCATCATCAAACAAAATTGTCCCTCCGAGGCTTTTGAACCAAGCAATTGCTGGGTTCAATCAAACCTAGCAAAGCTGTTGGGTTCTTCCTAACGCAGCAGGCCGTTAGGTTCAATGGGAAGAAAGGGAAGAGATGTTAGGGTTGAAAGCTCCTGGGTTCCAAGCTGCTGTTAACATGATAGGGTTTGCAAAAGTTGAGGAAAGAGGAAAGAGGAAAGAGAGGAACAAATAAAAAAAAAAAAAAGCTAAAAAAAGGGAAAATTTTAGGGTGGATGAGTTGGAATTACAGTGATAAAATTTTTGGGCATGTGATTTGCTTTTGTCAAGTTCGTCAATTTTTTGTGTGCACATCATGCTTGTTTTTGTCTGTTAAGGTGAAAAAATGAATAGAAGGATTAAGTTAGGGTCAAAATTACAAATAATATGGATTAAATCAAAGGTTTTTTTGAGTTAAAAAACTTAATCAGGGGTTTCAGCAATAATTGAGAGATGA